CTCTTTCATCAAGACATTTGAAGATTTTTCAGGTTTTAAAATCTAAGTTTTAGAGGTAAACTTGTGATTTAATATGAAATCTGAGTAACTTTCAGTTCCATTGAACAACTTTGTGTCTTTGTAAAGTTTGACAGAAGTATCTGTCAGTAGGTTTAATATAGTAAACTAAGTTGGAATGTCTGTCAACACATTGACTGTTATATATTTGTGGGACTTTGTGATAACAACAGGAGGATCATACTGGTTATAAAAGGTATTTACCCGATAATTTTCAGATTTTGGTTGCTTCATAGAAAAGGGACATCACTGAGATTTTCTTCGTAAACCTTCATTGTGTACTTACAATATAAAGGTTGTAAGAATAAAAGACTGGAAAATAAACATGTTTGCATAAAATTAAAGAAGTCGCATTGGTCGAGGGACGTGAATTTAATCAGATGATCTTGTGTTAAATTAATCAGATGATCTTGTGTTAAATTAATCAGATGATCTTGTGTTAAATTAATCAGATGATCTTGTGTTAAATTTATCAGATGATCTTGTGTTAAATTAATCAGATGATCTTGTGTTAAATTTATCAGATGATCTTGTGTTAAATTGATCAGATGATCTGATCTTGTGTTACATTAATCTGGGGCAGTTTTATTGTTTGTAGGACATTTTGATTAAAGAAATGGTGTGTATTCCCCGTCCACATGTGTAAATTGTAATATTGATGAAACAGTCTGGAATGTGATGAATTTTTACAACAGCTTGTGTGTATAACCCACTGGATTGATTTGATTCCTGTGGAATGTATATTCATTCATTCTCTTTTTTCTTTGTACCTGAGTATTTCTCAGTTAAGCTCACAGATGAAATATTTTGTGTACAGAAACTAGGAAAGGTGATATCCATTTCTCACGTGGATGGATATAGAAGCAGGTCTGACTGACCTGTACTTTCTGTGATCATCTGTATTAGACTTCTGTTGGAAGAGTGATGTGAACAATGATTTGTAATCAGTAGATAAGGTTACATTATAACAGGCTAGCTGTAAATCAGACTTGATGCAGTCAGATTACTATCCAATAGATGGTGTTACCTTCAAATGAAGAATATTATACAAATTCATGTCCAACTGGCACATTTAAATGTTTTTTTGCCTGTCTCAAAGCAACAGGTTTCAGTTATTGTAAGTGGGCATTATCCCTATGCCAATTATCTAATTGTTTCTTCAGAAACAAATAGCTACATGCGTTTGGATATTTACATTAATTTTCAGCTAAATTGACAATAGTAAAGTTGAGTCTAGTGATTCTCAGTTCTCGGCAGCTGAGACTACTTGTCTTGCAATGTGAAGTGTTTAAATGGCCGTATAATTAAGTGGGAACCCTTCTTCATCAGATGTTCATTCCCTACCCTTCACATGAAAATGGACATCTCTACCTTTTGTATCTGGACTCTACCATGTTGAAAGTTTAGGGGAAAATGACTGAGGAAAAGCATTGATCTTCAAAGACTCTTTGAAAAACTTGGGTATTGATGGTACAAAGATCTTTGGTAATATCGACACTGGCTCTGTGTTAATACTGAGAAGAGTTCATGAACTCACAGCTTCGTGGTCAGAGAGTACCCTCCATGGCTTTCAGAGAGTTGTTACAGTTAATATTGAAGAAAGTTATCGTTTTGGAGTAGTATATAAAACTTCAAAAACATTAGAAATTTGCCGCAACGTGTGAATTTTTACGACATCTGAACCTGTTGCCTTTGTTAGTGTTTATGATTTTTACGATGGATAAAGATTACTCCCAATAACTCAGACCATTGGAGCAAATTTTTTCATTTTCTTCTGCAATTTGGTTTCATCTATAAAGTGTTTAGACATTGGAATGTTCATCTACCAAATAATGTTAAAGGATTATAACAACACATACCAACCAGGAGAAGGATTATATCATAAAACAGCATTTTCATTTCTGGATTAAAAGTACAAGATGTGAATTGTGAAGTATGATTGTGAAGGTTACAAATTTTGTAGGCATTGTTTCAACATGGCGAATTCTCCTTATTTCAGTCTATAGAAAATTTCCTGACCACCAACTGTTGGATCGTTTACCAACCATAAGTGATGCTTTTATTTGTTGTGTTTCAACTTTTGGTGAATGTAGAAAATAGACTTTGTGTTAAAAGAATATCAGGAATCGATACTGTTGAACAATTTGTTATAGCTGTCCAGGTGCAAACATTGCTGTTCAGGTGCAAATATAGCTGTTCAGGTGCAAACAAGTACATCTTCAAATATTTGATCTCTAAACCAAAGTTTTGAAGATATTGTAAATTGTCATCTTAGGTCATGGTGACTCTCCAACAAACAGCATGAAATAAACTTTGCCAATCCTACAAAATAAAAACTAGTCAGAGTTGCTGCCCTTATTTATACCTTGATCAAAACAAGGTGGTATGATTTTGTTTATAGATTGAGGACAAGGTATTGTTGACTGTGATTGGTTAAAAATTGTTCCTTCTCAAAGTGATTGGTTCAAAATTGTTCCTTCTCAAAGTGATTGGTTCAAAATTGTTCCTTCTCAATGTGATTGGTTAAAAATTGTTCCTTCTCAAAGTGATTGGTTCAAAATTGTTTCTTCTCCAAGAGTTTACTCAACGAAAATACAAATGGTGTCGTGGATATTTCCGGGAATACCGGTAACACAGAGTTTTTCAATGAACCGTGTATCATTGTTGTCGAGCAACCGCGGAGCTCGTCCATCATCAACAAGCTGCAGTTTTTGTGTGGGACAGGTATACCTCATTTCAAACATAAATTTTAAGGCACTAAAAACAACTTTATGGCACTAAAAACAACTTTATGGCGCTAAAAACATTTTCATCTTGTTGCAGTTAAATTGAAAATACATTTCACACCTGAAGTCTCAAAATTTTTTGTCTCAAGGAACTGTCTCCAGATTTGATAAACTCCCATTTTCAGGATGGTCTTTGTAGTTTTCAGGTCAGATTATTTATTGATGATGCAATAGAAACAAGAAATTCTAATTATTTCTGAACTATTGGAAAATTGTCAAAATATTTTTGGAATCAGAATTAGAATATTGAAAGAATATTGAACCAAAACTGGAATATTGAAAGAATATGTAGATATGAATTGAATTAGAACAGGGGAAATACTTTTCATGGTACATTACTTAAAACGTTTCTTCAAAAGTTTTTTGTCAAATTTTGTTTATTAGTTTAAATAAGGTAATGCCTGTTTATCACTGATTTACACACTGCGGTATGTGATTGTGCTAATGTATATAAATCATGTGCTCACCTGGACATCTACCTGCCTCAGGTGTCAGTTTTAACACCTGGTGTGACATCATCGTAATGTTAGATCATCTACCCAGGTCGACTGTCTGAACTTGTAGGTTACAGAGTACATATCACTTGCAGTCCAATGTCAGACCATGGTTGAACTGATGTGCTATAAAATTCTGGTGGATGGATGTCAGCCCTCGATAATAGAATTTGTAAGGTTATCCCTACTCTACTTAATTCCTTGTGATTTTTGTGATTATCTAGGTACCCTGTTGGTTAAAGTGTTAAGTCTCCATCTTGTCCGGAGGAGACCTGTTGTTTAACCTGTTAAGTCTCCATCTTGTCCTGAGGAGACCTGTTGGTTAAAGTGTTAAGTCTCCATCTTGTCCTGAGGAGACCTGTTGGTTAAAAGTGTTAAGTCTCCATCTTGTCCGGAGGAGACCTGTTGGTTAAAAGTGTTAAGTCTCCATCTTGTCCTCAGGAGACCTGTTGGTTAAAAGTGTTAAGTCTCCATCTTGTCCTGAGGAGACCTGTTGGTTAAAAGTGTTAAGTCTCCATCTTGTCCGGAGGAGACCTGTTGGTTAAAAGTGTTAAGTCTCCATCTTGTCCTCAGGAGACCTGTTGGTTAAAAGTGTTAAGTCTCCATCTTGTCCTGAGGAGACCTGTTGGTTAAAAGTGTTAAGTCGCCATCTTGTCCAGAGGAGACCTGTTGTTTAACCTGTTAAGTCTCCATCTTGTCCTGAGGAGACCTGTTGGTTAAAAGTGTTAAGTCTCCATCTTGTCCTGAGGAGACCTGTTGGTTAAAAGTGTTAAGTGGCCATCTTGTCCTGAGGAGACCTGTTGTTTAACCTGTTAAGTCTCCATCTTGTCCTGAGGAGACCTGTTGGTTAAAAGTGTTAAGTCTCCATCTTGTCCGGAGGAGACCTGTTGTTTAACCTGTTAAGTCTCCATCTTGTCCTGAGGAGACCTGTTGGTTAAAAGTGTTAAGTGGCCATCTTGTCCTGAGGAGACCTGTTGTTTAACGTGATAACACTCCATCTTATCAAGTTTAGAGATTCACTTACATGGTTACTTTAGGTAGTGTAAGGTAAATTGGTCCTGGTATGTGATTTCAGGCACAAGCAGCTCAAGTTCTATATAAACTGTGAATACATAAATTTCTTATTTTTACGATTCATAAAGGAAGATAGTTTCAAGATTTTAGATAAATTTTTATTTTGTAGGAGAAACAAAACAGATCACAATGCTATAATCTTATATTGATTTACTTTTTTTAAAATTTTGGCAGCATGTTAATCCTACTGAGGATTAAACAGTCAATTATCACAATCAAGTACATGTATTGTTTACTGATATCAGTTTGTTTATCTGATATTAATGGTCAGATAATGAGTCACAAATGCAAAAATCATGAAAAATAATTACCATCCTACATTATAACGATACAGGCGATTATATATTTAAATTGATGACTTACATTATATACTGAAACTGAATCTGTTTTTTCTTTTTTGTTTGGGGGAGGGAGGGTCTGTCTAAAGACTTCTGCTTAAAATGACATCCATTTTGCTTTTTAAGTTTTTAAGTTAATCCACCATTGACAAAAGCATACTGAACCTGAATTTAAGTTTCAAGAAGCTAAAATTTTCCACTTTTCTAATGTCTGTAACTGTGTAATAGATGTCCCCTTTTCTGTGTTACAGAAAGCTGTAGAAGGTGATGTTGAGAATGACTCTGACAGCAGTAATTCAGGTATCTATGAACCAATTGACCAGGACTGGGTGAACAAGCTCAAAGTAGAACAGCGTGAACAACCACCAGAACTTCCTGCAGACAGGAAGAAGAAAAAGAAAAAGAAAGATGGCAACAAATCTGGTGCTGCAGCCATTGGATCTAAACTGAAGAAGTTGTACAATAAGCCAAAGAAAAGTGGAGAACCTGGTCTTACTAAGGTGGCCTCCGCTCCACAACTGTCAGAACAGTCCTCATCTGGGGTGTTAAACAAACTTGGTGATAAACTCAAATTACTTACTGGTACCAAAAGTTCAGACCCCAAACTGGTGGCAGAAGCTGAAGTAGTGATATCTAGTAGTGAGTACGACGGTGAAGCCTACAACGAGGAAGACAGTAATTGTAACAATATGAATATTCCATTAGAGGACATTGTGTATATAGATTCTTCATCTAGTATTGATCTGCAGGACTCATCAGAACCCGATAATCGTAATAATTATGAGGACACAGCACCACCTCTACCCCCAAGGGAGGTTTCCGATGAGGAGGAGAGTGCCCCTAAACCCCCACCAAAGACTCGATCTAGTATGCTTAATAATAGTGATGCTAATATAGGACTTGCACCAATGCGACCACCCAAACGGAACAGTTCTCGTCCACAATCTGAGGATGAGGCCCCTACTCCTGCTCTGCCTCCTAGAAACCGTGTCTCCACCAATGTAAATCTAGATACTGTTGTGCCAGTCACTCCAGGCCTGGTCACTTCTGCACACTCCACTGGTGATCTCAGGTAAATAGGCATGTTTTTCTATGTATGAAAATGTGTAAATACTTCTGATTTTATCTCCATTATTATGTAACTATTATAAGTGTGTGATGTACCTATTTTATGTCTTGATAATCTTCCCTGTTGTAAGTGTATGATATACCTATATTGTGTCTGGGTTATCTCCCCTGTTATAAATGCATGATGTACCAATGTTGTGTCTGGGTTATCTCCCCTGTTATAAATGTGTGATGTACCTTAGTTGTGTCTAGGTTATCTCCCCTGTTATAAGTGTGTGATGCACCTATATTGTGTCTAGGTTATCACCTATGTTATAAGTGTGTGATGTACCTATATTGTGTCTAGGTTATCACCTATGTTATAATTGTGTGATGTACCTATATTGTGTCAGGGTTATCTCCCCAGTTAAGAGTGTGTGATGTACCTATGTTGTGTTTGGGTTATCTCCCCAGTTAAGAGTGTTTGATGTGCCTATATATTGTCTGGGTAATCTCCCCAGTTAAGAGTGTTTGATGTGCCTATGTTGTGTCTGGGTTATCTCCCCTGTTATAAGTGTGTGATGTGCCTATGTTGTGTCTGGGTTATCTCCCCTGTTATAAGTGTGTGATGTACCTATGTTGTGTCTGGGTTATCTCCCCTGTTATAAGTTTGTGATGTACCTATGTTGTGTCTGGGTTATCTCCCGTTATAAGGGTGTGATGTACCTTCGTTGTGCCTGGGTTATCTCACCTGTTAAGAGTGTTTGATGTGCCTATATTATGTGCTGAGTATCTTCCTTTGTTAAAAGTTGATGTTGTATCTATTGTATGGCTTGATTATTTCTCCCTTAGATAATGTTATAGTGTATGTATAATAAATCAGGATTATCTGCTCTTGATAAATATGAATGATATCTACAGATTATCTCCCCTTTAATGTATTATGATGATCTCCCTTGTCAGGAACCCAAAAGGCCAGTGGCATGCCAGTAAGGACAGCTATCTACATGGACACCATCAAATGTCCAACAAGAACCTTGACCATTCTGATGGACCACCTGTGCCACCCCGTCAAAACAGTGGTAATGACATCTAAAGCACTGTCTCTTCTAACCCTACAGGCCTAGAATAAAAACCTGCTCAAATTTATATTAGTTTTGAATTTAATTTATTGGGTTTTCATTTTTGTCTATTGGTTTTTAAATTCTGAACACAAGGACTTGTATCTAATTCTGTTTTAAGAAGTGATATCCCATCCCAGATTAACCAACCAAATTACAAAGTGGTGTTTGGATATTTATGTATAATGATTGATAAGTGTGGCTAAGATGGTGATTAAGTAAAATAATTCTGCTTTTTTTATTGAAATTTTCTATATTTCTGTTTCAGGTGAGGAGAATATTTATATTGAATGTGACAGACCAGGAGCACAGGAGAAAGAGTAAGTTCTAAAGATTTCTAAGTACTACACAGGTATTTTCTTCAGTTCAGAATTGAACTATTCATCTTAAGAATATTCAGGATTTTGTAATATTCTCTCCCCATCTGACTATCTGTACAACACATTGTTTCTACTGTGAAGATAGCTTATTTACTCTTAATATGATATCTAAAGGAATACTACAACCATTTGTAAAATATAGGTCACTGTGACCCATATTCATGTAGAAGACAGAAGGAATACCACTACCATGTGTTAATTGTTACAGTAGTTCACTCACCTATATTAGAATACAAGTGTAACAGAATGCTACAACCATTTGTAAAATATAGGTCACTGTGACCCATATTCATGTAGAAGACAGAAGGAATACTACAACCATTTGTAAAATATAGGTCACTGTGACCCATATTCATGTAGAAGACAGAAGGAATACCACAACCATGTGTTAATTGTTACAGTAGTTCACTCACCTATATTAGAAATACAAGTGTAACAGAATGCTACAACCATTTGTTAAATGTAGGTCACTGTGACCCATATTCATGTAGAAGACAGAAGGAATACCACAACCATGTGTTAATTGTTACAGTAGTTCACTCACCTATATTAGAAATACAAGTGTAACAGAATGCTACAACCATTTGTTAAATGTAGGTCACTGTGATCTGTATTTTATGATCTTTGACAAAAAATCAAAATTGCAAAAAGGAGACTATTTCACATTTTCAAACATTCTGTACAATTCAACCTTTAAAACAAAAGCCTGAATTAAAAACATCCTGAAAAATAGATAAATGTTTGTAGCAGAACTGAAATATAATGTTAAATGTATGGATTTTCTTTAGAACTGGTATTCAAATTCCCTATTTTATCAATCACTCCTTAAGGATTTTGATATTTTTGAGTCTTTTTTCCTGTTTAAGTATCTTGCACATTCATGTCACATGTAGCTGTGTTAAACATCCTCTCATTCCTGATTGAGCAAAAGCTCTTATCTCTATGTATTATATATAAATTCTTTTTTTCAAGGGTGACAAAACGGCCGTTAGAGAAGAAATTGTCGTCATTATACATGAGATCAAGTGATGTAGCCAGTACACCAGATAAAAGTCCGACCAGTCTGAAAACAAGCGTACCATTACAAGATATCATGATGTTTCAATCACAGTATCAGAACACAACAGATGACAACATGTACCTCGACCTGGTCAGTATCAAACTTTACATATTCATCAGAGAATTTTATCCTGCATTTTATTTTTCATTTTATTCATTCCTGGATGTCTGATTATCAACCATCATTTCTCAAGAGAAAATAACATAAATATCATAATAATAACTTACAATACAACACACTTGTATTGGTATTGTTTAGATACTAGAAACTTACACCTCTGTTGGTAAAAACTATCAACATCTCCTAGTTAGAATTCTTAATCATTAATAAGGGTTAATTGGAAAGAAATCAAATAAGTTTGTCAAGTCACTATCGAAGCATATTTAGAGATTAAAAGGAGTTTTTCAAGTCATTATAAAGTGTGTTTTGAGATGAATGAAGTTTGTCGAGTGACTTCATAGCATGTTTTAAAATTAATGAAGTTTGTTGAGTCACTGTTAAGTGTGGTATAAGATTAAAAGACATTTGTTGAGTCACTATGAAGTGTGCTTTGAGAGTAATGAAGTTTGCCGAGTCACTGTTAAGTATGTTTTGAGATTAAATGAAGTTTGTCATGTTACTACAGAGAAAAGTTAAGAATTTACACCGCGTGGTGGAGGTAAGTGAAGAATGGGCCTGTCAGAGTAGATCAATCATATCTTTCTACATTACAGCATTTCCTTCTAACTCACCCTCTCCCGTACAACACCTCCAGACAATCTAGTAATTAAAAAAAGAAAGTTTGAATATGAAAGATATAGGTTTTTTTCTGAGGATGTCATCACCTTGAATTACATATTGAAGAACTTTATGTGTATGGTTTAATAAGATTCTGATCTTTTGATAGAAATTTTTTTTGTGCTCATTTATGAGCTGCTGAAATAATAAAGTTTTCATGGAAGATTTATAAACTGATGAATCCTTCCAAGATGTGAAAACTTCTGTAGTTTAAATGTCTTGTCTTAGATAAAGAAGGATTCCTCTTGATCATAACATCCAACAGGATTTTTGGTAATTTGATTACTTTAGTTATGTGGGTCAAGGTCACAGTGGATGTGATTAAAGGGACATAACTGGGATGAGATATTTAACAAATGATATATATATATCATGTCCTCTGTACTCTTGTAGTATTGTTTGAAGTGCATAGTAGTAATTGTCTTAAACTGACCAGTGGTCAAATGTCCAAGTAACTGTATTATTGAATGTTGAATGTGTAGTGATTGCTTTGTACTTTTGATAACATATACTTATATTTTCAAAATAATTCTAGGCCAGACTTAATTTTTTTTAGCTTAATGAAGTATTGTATTGAGCCTGGAAAGTGAACCAGAATCTTAAACTTGAAACTTCAGGAATAATTATGTTTGTCCCAACATCTCTTCATTAAATTATACATAAGATTAATTGGTCAGACACTTTCCCTGACCACCTGACCTACCATCACCCTGACCACCTCACCCACCATTAGTAACACAGAACCTCTGTAAGACAGACACTTTCCCTGACCACCTCACCCACCATCACCCTGACCACCTCACCCACCATCACCCTGACCACCTGACCCACCATCAGTAACACAGAACCTCTGTAAGACAGACACTTTCCCTGACCACCTCACCCACCATCACCCTGACCACCTCACCCACCATCAGTAACACAGAACCTCTGTAAGACAGACACTTTCCCTGACCACCTGACCTACCATCACCCTGACCACCTCACCCATCATCACCCGACTACCTCACTCACCATCAGTAACACAGAACCTCTGTAAGACAGACACTTTCCCTGACCACCTCACCCACCATCACCCTGACCACCTCACCCACCATCAGTAACACAGAACCTCTGTAAGACAGACACTTTCCCTGACCACCTCACCCATCATCACCCGACTACCTCACCCACCATCAGTAACACAGAACCTCTGTAAGACAGACACTTTCCCTGACCACCTCACCCACCATCACCCTGACCACCTGACCCACCATCAGTAACACAGAACCTCTGTAAGACAGACACTTTCCCTGACCACCTCACCCACCATCACCCTGACCACCTCACCCATCATCACCCGACTACCTCACCCACCATCAGTAACACAGAACCTCTGTAAGACCAACACTTTCCCTGACCACCTCACCCACCATCACCCTGACCACCTCACCCATCATCACCCGACTACCTCACCCATCATCAGTAACACAGAACCTCTGTAAGACAGACACTTTCCCTGACCACCTCACCCACCATCACCCTGACCACCTCACCCACCATCAGTAACACAGAACCTCTGTAAGACAGACACTTTCCCTGACCACCTCACCCACCATCACCCTGACCACCTCACCCATCATCACCCGACTACCTCACTCACCATCAGTAACACAGAACCTCTGTAAGACAGACACTTTCCCTGACCACCTCACCCACCATCACCCTGACCACCTCACCCACCATCAGTAACACAGAACCTCTGTAAGACAGACACTTTCCCTGACCACCTCACCCACCATCACCCGACTACCTCACTCACCATCAGTAACACAGAACCTCTGTAAGACAGACACTTTCCCTGACCACCTCACCCATCATCACCCGACTACCTCACCCACCATCACCCTGACCACCTGACCCACCATCAGTAACACAGAACCTCTGTAAGACAGACACTTTCCCTGACCACCTCACCCACCATCACCCTGACCACCTCACCCATCATCACCCGACTACCTCACCCACCATCAGTAACACAGAACCTCTGTAAGACCAACACTTTCCCTGACCACCTCACCCACCATCACCCTGACCACCTCACCCATCATCACCCGACTACCTCACCCATCATCAGTAACACAGAACCTCTGTAAGACAGACACTTTCCCTGACCACCTCACCCACCATCACCCTGACCACCTCACCCACCATCAGTAACACAGAACCTCTGTAAGACAGACACTTTCCCTGACCACCTCACCCACCATCACCCGACTACCTCACTCACCATCACCCTGACCGCCTGACCCACCATCAGTAACACAGAACCTCTGTAAGACCAACACTTTCCCTGACCACCTCACCCACCATCACCCTGACCACCTCACCCACCATCAGTAACACAGAACCTCTGTAAGACAGACACTTTCCCTGACCACCTCACCCACCATCACCCGACTACCTCACTCACCATCAGTAACACAGAACCTCTGTAAGACAGACACTTTCCCTGACCACCTCACCCACCATCACCCTGACCACCTCACCCACCATCAGTAACACAGAACCTCTGTAAGACAGACACTTTCCCTGACCACCTCACCCACCATCACCCGACTACCTCACCCACCATCAGTAACACAGAACCTCTGTAAGACCAACACTTTCCCTGACCACCTCACCCACCATCACCCTGACCACCTCACCCATCATCACCCGACTACCTCACTCACCATCAGTAACACAGAACCTCTGTAAGACCAACACTTTCCCTGACCACCTCACCCACCATCACCCTGACCACCTCACCCACCATCACCCTGACCACCTCACCCACCATCACCCGACTACCTCACTCACCATCAGTAACACAGAACCTCTGTAAGACCAACACTTTCCCTGACCACCTCACCCACCATCACCCTGACCACCTGACCCACCATCAGTAACACAGAACCTCTGTAAGACAGACACTTTCCCTGACCACCTCACCCACCATCACCCTGACCACCTCACCCATCATCACCCGACTACCTCACCCACCATCAGTAACACAGAACCTCTGTAAGACCAACACTTTCCCTGACCACCTCACCCACCATCACCCTGACCACCTCACCCATCATCACCCGACTACCTCACCCATCATCAGTAACACAGAACCTCTGTAAGACAGACACTTTCCCTGACCACCTCACCCACCATCACCCTGACCACCTCACCCACCATCAGTAACACAGAACCTCTGTAAGACAGACACTTTCCCTGACCACCTCACCCACCATCACCCTGACCACCTCACCCATCATCACCCGACTACCTCACTCACCATCAGTAACACAGAACCTCTGTAAGACAGACACTTTCCCTGACCACCTCACCCACCATCACCCTGACCACCCACCATCAGTAACACAGAACCTCTGTAAGACAGACACTTTCCCTGACCACCTCACCCACCATCACCCGACTACCTCACTCACCATCAGTAACACAGAACCTCTGTAAGACAGACACTTTCCCTGACCACCTCACCCATACCCCCTGACCACCTCACCCACCATCAGTAACACAGAACCTCTGTAAGACAGACACTTTCCCTGACCACCTCACCCACCATCACCCTGACCACCTCACCCATCATCACCCGACTACCTCACCCACCATCAGTAACACAGAACCTCTGTAAGACCAACACTTTCCCTGACCACCTCACCCACCATCACCCTGACCACCTCACCCACCATCAGTAACACAGAACCTCTGTAAGACCAACACTTTCCCTGACCACCTCACCCACCATCAGTAACACAGAACCTCTGTAAGACCAACACTTTCCCTGACCACCTCACCCACCATCACCCTGACCACCTCACCCACCATCAGTAACACAGAACCTCTGTAAGACAGACACTTTCCCTGACCACCTCACCCACCATCACCCGACTACCTCACTCACCATCAGTAACACAGAACCTCTGTAAGACAGACACTTTCCCTGACCACCTCACCCACCATCACCCTGACCACCTCACCCACCATCAGTAACACAGAACCTCTGTAAGACAGACACTTTCTGACCACCTCACCCACCATCACCCGACTAACACCATCAGAACACAGAACCTCTGTAAGACCAACACTTTCCCTGACCACCTCACCCACCATCACCCTGACCACCTCACCCATCATCACCCGACTACCTCACTCACCATCAGTAACACAGAACCTCTGTAAGACCAACACTTTCCCTGACCACCTCACCCACCATCACCCTGACCACCTCACCCATCATCACCCGACTACCTCACCCACCATCAGTAACACAGAACCTCTGTAAGACAGACACTTTCCCTGACCACCTCACCCACCATCACCCTGACCACCTCACCCATCATCACCCGACTACCTCACCCACCATCAGTAACACAGAACCTCTGTAAGACAGACACTTTCCCTGACCACCTCACCCATCATCACCCGACTACCTCACCCACCATCAGTAACACAGAACCTCTGTAAGACCAACACTTTCCCTGACCACCTCACCCACCATCACCCTGACCACCTCACCCACCATCACCCTGACCACCTCACCCATCATCACCCGACTACCTCACCCACCATCAGTAACACAGAACCTCTGTAAGACCAACACTTTCCCTGACCACCTCACCCACCATCACCCTGACCACCTCACCCATCATCACCCGACTACCTCACCCACCATCACCCGTAACACATCAGAAACCTCTGTAAGACCAACACTTTCCCTGACCACCTCACCCACCATCACCCTGACCACCTCACCCACCATCACCCTGACCACCTCACCCATCATCACCCGACTACCTCACTCACCATCAGTAACACAGAACTCTGTAACACACTTTCCCTGACCACCTCACCCACCATCACCCTGACCACCTCACCCACCATCACCATCAGTAACACAGAACCTCTGTAAGACAGACACTTTCCCTGACCACCTCACCCACCATCACCCTGACCACCTCACCCATCATCACCCGACTACCTCACTCACCATCAGTAACACAGAACCTCTGTAAGACCAACACTTTCCCTGACCACCTCACCCACCATCACCCTGACCACCTCACCCACCATCACCCTGACCACCTGACCCACCATCAGTAACACAGAACCTCTGTAAGACAGACACTTTCCCTGACCACCTCACCCACCATCACCCTGACCACCTCACCCACCATCAGTAACACAGAACCTCTGTACCAACACTTTCCCTGACCACCTCACCCACCATCAGTAACACAGAACCTCTGTAAGACCAACACTTCCCTGACCACCTCACCCACCATCCCTGACCACCTCACCCACCATCACCCTGACCACCTCACCCACCATCACCCTGACCACCTCACCCACCCACCATCAGTAACACAGAACCTCTGTAAGACCAACACTTTCCCTGACCACCTCACCCACCATCACCCGACTACCTCACTCACCATCAGTAACACAGAACCTCTGTAAGACAGACACTTTCCCTGACCACCTCACCCACCATCACCCGACTACCTCACTCACCATCAGTAACACAGAACCTCTGTAAGACAGACACTTTCCCTGACCACCTCACCCACCATCACCCTGACCACCTCACCCATCATCACCCGACTACCTCACTCACCATCAGTAACACAGAACCTCTGTAAGACAGACACTTTCCCTGACCACCTCACCCACCATCACCCTGACCACCTCACCCACCATCAGTAACACAGAACCTCTGTAAGACCAACACTTTCCCTGACCCACCATCACCCTGACCACACCCACCATCACCCATCATCACCCATCATCACCCGACTACCTCACCCACCATCAGTAACACAGAACCTCTGTAAGACCAACACTTTCCCTGACCACCTCACCCACCATCACCCTGACCACCTCACCCACCATCAGTAACACAGTACACACACACACAAATCTGATCCATTTAAACTGTATGTTATTGATGATAGAGATGTTTATCAACAAGAGTTGTGTAAATATTACAGAAGTTCACCACCATTGATCCAGTAAGTAATGTCTTGCAAATTTATTACGATTTTTTCTACCTGTGAATATCCTTACCAAGGAAAAATGGAATGTTATTAGCAAAATGTATGTCTGGTGGAAGACATACATTAGCTTGAAATATGTATGCTTCAGCCTGAACCCTGTATGGCCATACATTGTTATGTGATAGAATCTTCAGCCAGAATTCTGTATGGCAATTCTTTGTTATGTAATAGAATCTTCAGCTTGAATCCTGCCTAGCTGTACTTTGTTATGAGACAAAAGCTGTGAATGTGTAGGAAATTTGAATATGCTTTAGACAGCGGAAATGAAACTTTCTTACAAAACTATGCATGAGCTTGATAGACAAGCAAATATGTTGATAATAGATCTTTAGATATGTTGCTGTTTGTCCAAGGACTGTTTGTCCCTGAGTCTAACTCTCAGTTCTCTATTGTCTGTCCAAGGACTGTTTACCTCTGAGCCTAACCCTTCATTTCTAATTGTCTGTTTAAGGACTGTTTGTCTCTGAGCCTAACTGTCAGTTTTCTTTAGTTTGTCCAAGGACTGTTTGTCTCTGAGCCTAACCCTTAGTTTCTAATTGTCTGTCCAAGGACTGTTTGTCTCTGAGTCTAACTCTCAGTTTTCTTTTGTCTGTCCAAGGACTGTTTATCTGAGCCTAACTCTTAGTTTCTAATTGTCTGTCCAAGGACTGTTTGTCTCTGAGCCTAACTGTCAGTTCTCTTTAGTTTGTCCAAGGACTGTTTGTCTGAGCCTAACCCTTAGTTTCTAATTGTCTGTCCAAGGACTGTTTGTCTCTGAGTCTAACTCTCAGTTTTCTTTTGTCTGTCCAAGGACTGTTTATCTCTGAGCCTAACTCTTAGTTTCTAATTGTCTGTCCAAGGACTGTTTGTCTCTGAGCCTAACTGTCAGTTCTCTTTAGTTTGTCCAAGGACTGTTTGTCCCTGAGCTTAACTATCAGTTCTCTATTGTTTGTCCAAGGACTGCTTGTCCCTGAGCCTAACCCTTAGTTTCTAATTGTCTGTCCAAGGACTGTTTGTCTCTGAGTCTAACCCTTAGTTCTCTTTTGTCTGTCCAAGGACTGTTTGTCTCTGAGTCTAACCCTTAGTTCTCTTTTGTCTGTCCAAGGACTGTTTGTCTCTGAGTCTAACCCTCAGTTCTCTTTTGTCTGTCCAAGGACAAGGAGAGTCTAACTCCCACCTTAAATTAAATGTCAGCTATACGTTATAGTTTGTATCTAGACATATCAATAAGTGTAGGAAAAGTTTTAACAACATGGAGGCTATGCAGTATTTTTGATATTAAGATAAATTAAGATGACACGTTATATCTGCATGTCACAGTTTGCCTTAGCTTTAAATCATTCTCAATGAATGAAATCTAGTCAAATTTGATAACCTGCCTAAAGTATAATACCTATTGTCCTACAGATCCAGGAAAGGGTCTCTCCTTTTCTTACTGTTGTCTAATCCATGTATTTTGGTGAAATATATGAGAATTTTTACTATTTACATAAATGATAGTAAAGAATTGTAAAAAAATAACAGAAAAGTCAAAAATGTCCTCATTATCTTATAAAAAGATATATGATATGATTAGACTTATTTATTCTGATAACAAATCTTGGATATGTACTGATAGTAATGACCTTGCAGTAAGGGGGGGTCAAGGTCACAGGTAGCAAATTTCTGTTATTGACTTTGAAGGCATTATTATATGGTTGTTTGTTCTAAGATTTTACTCAATAACATGCTTATCCTCACATTAGATGTATTTACTAGTTATATATACTCGATAGGAAGCCAGGGTTGTTTGTACTATGCTAAGGTCAAGGTCATGTTGAGATTAAGGCAGGCTTCTCTCAGACACAGCTGTCTCTTTATTCTTAAATTACCTAAAGAATTAGAGATGATAGATAATGTAAAAGTGAAGAAGCTTTCTTACTAGTGTATTCTGTCCTACTACCTACACTATACCACTAGATTATCTCAGAACTTATCTTATATCTAAGAAAACATATTCTGAATACCACTGGCTGTATATCCCCATCAGTTCCTCCACTGTCTGTGTGCTCCTTCATCAGGCTCCATGTGTGCTGTACTAACATAATGTTTAGAGTGGGAAAATTACAGAATGTTGCACAATGTTAAGTGAATTTAAAAGATATTCATTGAAATGAATCTTCAAAAAAGTTGGATTGCAAAATATACATGAAAACATACAATATTTGTGAGGTGCATGTTTAAATTCTCTGAATTATGTGCGATATTTGTTTTTTATTTATTGGAATGTTGGATTTTATCACAAGATGATTCTGTGTGTCTTGATGTGATTGTTTGATTGGACAATAATTCAATTCATCAGTGATTTGTATGACATTTATTTTGTGTTTCCCTGTTTGATTGGACAATTATTTTATGCACTAGTGATTTGTATGACATTTATTTTGTGTTTCCCTGTTTGATTGGACAATTATTTTATGCACCAGTGATTTGGAGGAAATTATTTTGTGTTTCCCTGTTTGATTGGACAATTATTTTATGCACTAGTGATTTGTATGACATTTATTTTGTGTTTCCCTGTTTGATTGGACAATTATTTTGTGCACTAGTGATTTGTATGACATTTATTTTGTGTTTCCATGTTTGATTGGACAATTTTGTGTATCTGAGATTCTTTCTTTGTCAGAGGAATATTAAATGATTGGCTGGAGATCAAGTTGGTGTGTCCTTTCTAGTCAGTGGAATATTAAATATGATTGGCTGGAGATTCAGTTGGTGTGCCATTTCTAGTCAGAGGAATATTAAATATGATTGGCTGGAGATTCAGTTGGTGTGCCATTTCTAGTCAGAGGAATATTAAATATGATTGGCTGGAGATCCAGTTGGTGTGCCATTTCTAGTCAGAGGAATATTAAATATGATTGGCTGGAGATTCAGTTGGTGTGTCCTTTCTAGTCAGAGGAATATTAATATGAGGTGTGACCATTTTTGTCTCAGGAATATTAATGAAGTGATTTGTTGGAATGATGATTTTGTGTGTTTGTTTCTAGGAGGATGAGGACCAGCTATACGGCACACTCGGGGAGCGCTACACACCAAAAATTCATGCTGCAGAGCCTCTTTATCAATATTATCACAAAAACATGGCGTCTCGTGCCAGCAAGAAATGTTCTGTGATGCATGCTGAAAGTGATGATGAAGAGGATGGTATGTTCCATTAAAAAGTTTAACTTTTTAACTTCTTCAGTTAGATCTTGTATTGAAACACTGTAAACAGATGATAAATGATACAATATTCAGTATGAATGTTAAGGGAGGAGGGGTTGGGGAGTTCCGGGGGGGGTTGGGGTTGGGGTTGTGTCAATACAATTGTTCTGTCACCATCAAATGGATCAACACTGATCAGAAAAACAAAATAGCTGACGAGTAGCTATCCTGGATTTTGCCTTATGAAGTGTGTTGTTGTTTTTTCCTGAGAATTGCCCATTGAATTTTGAGACCGATCAGAAAAACAAAAATGGCTGACAGGTGGCCATCTTGGATTTTGAGTTTGAAAGTGTGTTGTTGCTATTTCTTCAGAATTTTACTGCCTAGATCTTTCTTCGATTTCATATGTAGGTTCCTCTTGGTCCCTGATTGTGCCCGTTTGATTATAGGACTGATCAGAAAAACAACATTGCAGACAAGCAGATTTCACCTGCTGAAGTTTGTTATCACTATTTCTGAAAAATACAGAATGGACCTCTCTCAAATTTCCAGTGTAGGCACTGTTTGGCCCCTTGTTGTTCCCCTTTAATTTTGGGACTGATCAGTTAAAAAAAAACAAAAAAAAAAACAAAAAAAATGGGTTCCAGGCAACCATCTTGGTTTTGCAGTTAAAGATTTTCATCACTTTTGCTGCAAAGGAATGTACAAATTTCTTATCATTATAAGTAAAAGAGAAAGGAAAAGATCCACTATTCAGAAATCAAATAAAGATCAAACAATGCTGGGTGTCAAGATCTCTCTAGGATCTCTTGTTTAGATTAGATCTTGTGTAGAGCACTTTGTTACATGATTGTGTGAAGCCCTTTAATGTCCTCCAAGTCATAGTGTTGTGTACTTGGCAGATGAGAGGATTTATGAGGCATTAGATGATGTCATCGAAACTCCAACGGAAACAAAAGTCGATCGTGTTAAGGCATCAACACTGGAGATGTTTACCAAGAAATCTGGAACTGCGATGAGAGCTTTGTGGTGTGAGATGCCTGAGGTATTTCAATCCTTTTGTTTTTAAAAGTAAAAATTGAATTCATTTGGTTTTCACACCATAAGTTCATATCTTGTTGTAGAAATTTATCTCAGCTTAATGTAGGCCATTTTAGTTTAATCATTTTACTGATAAGTTATTCGATAATAGAAAAAATTAGTGAAGTTGTGTCTTCATTTGATAAAAGTTGTGTGTTCTTATTATTTTTGTGTTTTTAATTTGTAGGTCAAGGAGAGTGGTCTCTTAGAAAAAATGTCATCACAAGAACGAAAGATTCAGGAGGTATGGATGTGATTGTTATAAGGGGAGGTAATCACAAGAGAAGGGTGGATTTGATGGTTATAAGGGGAGGTAATCACAAGAGGTATGGATGTGATGGTTATAAGGGGAGGTAATCACAAGAGAAGGGTGGATTTGATGGTTATAAGGGGAGGTAATCACAAGAGAGGTATGGATGTGATGGTTATAAGGGGAGGTAATCACAAGAGAGGTATGGATGTGATGGTTATAAGGGGAGGTAATCACAAGAGAAGGGTGGATTTGATGGTTATAAGGGGAGGTAATCACAAGAGAGGTATTGATCTGATGGTTGTAAGGGGAGGTAATCACAAGAGAAGGGCTGATCTGATGGTTATAAGGGGAGGTAATCACAAAAATATGTTTTTCTATTTGTAGTTTGTTAAGCATCATCACTGTCTATTCTACCTCAGACAGATTCCTTCTTAATAAAGTCAGCCAAAAGTTGAATTTTCAAGAATCTGGTCAGACAGAATTACGGGAAACTAGTATATCACATTAGGCTGCATATTGAATTTCTCAGAAGTTACTGGAGTAGATAGCATGTGTGAATATTCTGGAGATGGTTTGGGTAGAATGTTGTAATAAACAGAAGTAGAGCTAAATAGCTTATAGGAGACACCAGGGAAAACTAGAATGAGATAAGGTTGGTGAAAAAGTTTGGGTTCAGTTAGACATTTGTAAAGATGGACAATATCAAAAAAGAGGCGAGGTAGTAAAAACACCACAGTATAGTGGGGGAAATAATGGGAAACATTGATCAGGAGATAAACAAGGAACATTACATTAAAGTTTTCTTCTCTTATCACAGGCAACCTTTGAAATCATCACATCAGAGGCAACATATCTTCGCAGTCTCAATGTCCTGATGAACACGTTCCTCCTCTCACAAGAATTCTCTGCTGAACATTCCGACCGCTGTGTCCTTACAAGACAGGAACGCCATGTCATTTTCTCAAATATTGGATCCATTCGGGACACCAGTGAAAGGTAATCAAGGAAGATATAAGACAAATGATGGTGTAGTTTAATGGCTTTATACTGACAGAGTTGAAGTGATTGCTTCATGTGACATCTATTAATTCTATCATTTGCATTTTCTTGATGTCTGAAAATATCCGATTTTGTTTGTTTGGTCTTGTAGATTTCTTTCGGCACTTGAGGCCAAATGGCAGGAGTCAGTTCTAATGGAAGATATCTCCTCTGTCATAGAGAGCCACGCTAACGCAAAGTTTGAATGTTATGTCCGTTACTGTAGCAACCAGACATTCCAGGAGCGACAAGTACAGGAACTCATGTAAGTGGAATATTTGTTAAATTACGCAAAATAAAGTCCAGCAGAAGGCAACGAAAAGTCATGCGTGAAATAACTTATTACCTCCCTTTTCATTAATTTTGTTTTTGTTATGTTCTGTGGGGCGCATTTACTATGGCAGTCCTACCCATAATGCATTGTGGTCACCTACAAGATGGCTGATTGACCAGCTGATGCTTTTTCAAGGGTCTAGAAAAACTTGCTAGGACAACACGGACAATGGAAGGAAAATTTTCACTGATACATCCTCTGCTCACATAGCGTGATGCTTTCAAAACATGAACATCTCAGTGAATGTTCATTGAGACATGAATGTCACATCTACCAGTAATGTCTACAGTATAGCCTGTTCTAGATTTATTAGCCCACCATCATCAGATGGTGGGGTATTCAAATTGCCCTGCATTCGTGGTCCGTCTGTCCATCCGTAAACAATTCTTGTTACCGCTATTTCTGGAAAAGTACTGGATGGATCTTTCTCAAATTTCATATGCAGGTTCCCCTTGGTTCCTAGTTGTGCATTGTACCTTTTTTGGACTGATTCAAATTCAAGATGGCCGACAGGTGGCCATCTTGGATTTTGGAAGTAAAGTTTGTTACCGCTATTTCTTGGAAAGTAATGGATGGATCTTTCTCAAATTTCATATGCAGGTTCCCCTTGGTCCCTAGTTGTGCATTGTATCTTTTTTGGACTGATTCGAATTCAAGATGGCCGACAGGTGGCCATCTTGGATTTTGGATGTAAAAGTTTGTTACTGCTATTTCTTGGAAAGTACTGGATGGATCTTTCTCAAATTTCATATGCAGGGTCCGCTTGGTCCCTAGTTGTGCATTGTACCTCTTTTGGACTGATTCGAATTCAAGATGGTTGACAGGTGGCCATCTTGGATTTTGGATGTAAAAGTTTGTTACTGCTATTTCTTGGAAAGTACTGGATGGATCTTTCTCAAATTTCATGTGCAGGTTCCCTTTGGTTCCAAGTTGTGCATTGTACCTTTTTGGACTGATCCGAAATCAAGATTGCTGATAGGCAGCCATCTTGGATTTTGAGAGTAAAATCTTGTTACTGCTATATCTGAGGAAGTACTGGATGGATCCTTCTGATATTTCATAGATATTGGTTTCCCTTGGTCCCTAGTTGTGCATTGTACCTTTTTTGGACTGATTTGAAATCAAGGTGGCCCACAGGCTACCATCTTGGATGTCGACAGTAATACAGCACAAACATATTGTCCATTATCTACTTGTAACTGACTGCTATCTAATGATACTTTGGGATCTTTTTCAAATGATATTTGCTAATAAGTGCTTAATAAAAATATCTTTTGCCATCATTGAGTACATTCAATGAAGACCAGTTCATGAACATTTACAACACCTGTAACAAACAAAAAAAAATAAACAAATCTTCAAGAACTGAAAATAGATCCTCAAATGGTGGGTGCCAAGATCCATCTGGGATCTCTTGTTGATGGCAATGATCCTCAGAAATAATATAAAAATGTACAAAATAAAAAAACCTCCTTATTTCTGTCAATATTTCTGCTCCACATAAGCTCTACAGTCTCGTTACATTATAACTGAACTAAAATTCCTGTGATGTGTTTATGAGAGATTCTGGGGAGCTATGTACAGGAATGTGAGGTGTTTTGGGAGAGATTCTGGGGTGCTATGTACAGGAATGTGAGGTGTTTTGGGAGAGATTCTGGGGTTTTATGTACAGGAATGAGAGGTGTTTTGGAAGATATTCTGGGGTGTTATGTATAGGAATGTGAGGTGTTTTGGGAGCGATTCTAGGGTGTTATGTACAGGAATGTGAGGTGTTTTGGGAGAGATTCTGGGGTGTTATGTACAGTAATGAGAGGTGTTTTGGAAGATATTCTGGGGTGTTATGTACAGGAATGTGAGGTGTTTAAGGGGGAGATTCTGGGGTGTTATGTACAGGAATGTGAGGTGTTTTGGAAGATATTCTGGGGTGTTATGTACAGGAATGTGAGGTGTTTTGGGAGAGATTCTGGGGTGTTATGTATAGGAATGTGAGGTGTTTTGGGAGAGATTCTGGGGTGTTATGTACAGGAATGTGAGGTGTTTTGGGAGAGATTCTAGGGTGTTATGTACAGGAATGTGAGGTGTTTTGGAAGATATTCTGGGGTGTTATGTACAGGAATGTGAGGTGTTTTGGAAGATATTCTGGGGTGTTATGTACAGGAATGTGAGGTGTTTTGGGAGAGATTCTGGGGTGTTATGTATAGGAATGTGAGGTGTTTTGGGAGAGATTCTAGGGTGTTATGTACAGGAATGTGAGGTGTTTTGGAAGATATTCTGGGGTGTTATGTACAGGAATGTGAGGTGTTTTGGAAGATATTCTGGGGTGTTATGTACAGGAATGTGAGGTGTTTTGGGAGAGATTCTGGGGTGTTATGTATAGGAATGTGAGGTGTTTTGGGAGAGATTCTAGGGTGTTATGTACAGGAATGTGAGGTGTTTTGGAAGATATTCTGGGGTGTTATGTACAGGAATGTGAGGTGTTTTGGGAGAGATTCTGGGGTGTTATGTAGAGATAGGAATGTGAGGTGTTTTGGGAGAGATTCTGGGGTGTTATGTATAGGAATGTGAGGTGTTTTGGGAGAGATTCTGGGGTGTTATGTACAGGAATGTGAGGTGTTTTGGAAGATATTCTGGGGTGTTATGCATAGGAATGTGAGGTGTTTTGGGAGAGATTCTAGGGTGTTATGTACAGGAATGTGAGGTGTTTTGGAAGATATTCTGGGGTGTTATGTACAGGAATGTGAGGTGTTTTGGGAGAGATTCTGGGGTGTTATGTATAGGAATGTGAGGTGTTTTGGGAGAGATTCTGGGGTGTTATGTACAGGAATGTGAGGTGTTTTGGGAGAGATTCTAGGGTGTTATGTACAGGAATGTGAGGTGTTTTGGAAGATATTCTAGGGTGTTATGTACAGGAATGTGAGGTGTTTTGGAAGATATTCTAGGGTGTTATGTACAGGAATGTGAGGTGTTTTGGAAGATATTCTGGGGTGTTATGCATAGGAATGTGAGGTGTTTTGGGAGAGATTCTGGGGTGTTATGTACAGGAATGTGAGGTGTTTAAGGGGGAGATTCTGGGGTGTTATGTACAGGAATGTGAGGTGTTTTGGGAGAGATCTTCACACAGGAGAAATACTCAGCCATTAGTTTCTATAATTAATGAAATGACTTCCAACATATTGGTGATATACATCAACTGTTTTGTCTATGGTTGATTATATCAGAAATAATTCTGGTGAATTAACAGGAAGAAGCAAGAGTTTTCGGATGCCATCAAACGAATGGAGAATAGTCCTGAATGTCAAGGTCTTCCAATGATGTCCTTCCTTCTCCTCCCGATGCAGCGAATCACTCGACTTCCTCTCCTAGTGGATGCCATCTGCCACCGTATGGAGCCTGCCACCAAGCAACACAAGGGTGCTACACGAGCTCTTGATGCACTCAACAAGGTAAGATTGCTATTGACCTATATTTCTGTCCCTCTTCACATGTGTTGGTTCAAAACACAGAACAGACATGTTTGATCTTTTTTCTCGCATATATCCAAATAAAATCATAACCTATTGGAAGCTGTGGTAATGAAATGTATATATTGCAACAAGAATTAATGACCTTTTCAAATTGATACACTATATATAATGATGATGTAATCCTACTGTTAGAGTGTTATAACATGTATTTTCCTATTTTCCTGTGTGAGTAAAAGTTGTCTTTCCCTACCTGAGTGAGATAGAGTTGGCTTTCCCTACCTGAGTGAGATAGAGTTGTCTTTCCATACCTGAGTGAGATAGAGTTGTCTTTCCCTACCTGAGTGAAATAGAGTTGTCTTTTCCTGACCCTTTGTGAGTAAAAGTTGTCTTTCCCTACCTTTTGTGAAATAGTGTTGTCTTTCCCTACCTGAGTGAGATAGAGTTGTCTTTCCCTACCTGAGTGAGGTAGAGTTGTCTTTCCCTACCTGAGTGAGATAGAGTTGTCTTTCCCTACCTATTATGAGATATAGTTGCCTTTTTCCACCTTGTGTGAGATAGAGTTGTCTTTCTTTAACAAAATCTGGATCACCTGTCTATATTACATAAAAATGTATTAATCCTCTTTTTTTTCTTTTTTGTTTAGGTCGTACGGAAATGTAACGATGGAGCTAAGAAGATGCAGCAGACAGAACAAATGTGTCGCTTGGTGCAAAATCTGGAGTTCAAGGTCAAAGTAAGTGTAATGAAAGTTGAGAACATATCATCATGAATGTTTCCAAGCCTCAACAGTACAGACTTCCCAAATATAGAATCATAGGCTTAATGTCAGTGATATGTAGAGAATCTAATATGGTTTCTTTTATATCATCATGTATATATTTATGAAATATTTATCTATGTTTTCTCAGATGCATTGAATTTTTTATATTATTTTTAAAAGCAAATCTTTAAATGTACTTCAACTTACATTCGATAATTCAATTTAACTCCTAATTTGATTAAATTTATTTGATAAATGGAAGAAACCAACAGATTTTATAGTATCCAGGACTTCAGGGGAGACAAATGTGTTAATTATACTGATGTTGTGTTATTTTTTGTAGGAAATCCCACTTGTATCTGCTTCCCGGTATTTGCTTAAACAAGGGGAGCTAACTAGGGTATTAACAGACACATCAAGTCGACTTCCTTTACGGAAAGGGAAAACGAAACAAGCTGTAAACATCTTCTTATTCAATGATATCATCCTCATCAGCAAAAAGAAAAGGTATAATAGTCCTGTATTTTCAGTTTTTTTTGTTAAATATTTCTTTGTGCTTTTTTGTGACCTCATTTTTTCAGTGGCTTCTGGAGAAATTGAATTACTCAATTCATTAGAAATCTCCAGTTAAATAGACCTAGTGATTAGAAATTCAAGAGATTAACATCTGATCTCTGTCCCCACCCCCTGGGAATTTAAAGCTGTATCTTTGGGGTGAAGCTCATCAAGGGGAATATTTTTCTTTCAAAAAAATGTAAAAGTTTTGCCTTATTGACTTAAATATCCAGGTGACCTTTGGGCCTCTTGTTTTGTATTACAATCTCATGACTACATCAAAAGAATTCATCATAATGTTTCTGTGTTAACCCTTGACTTGTACCAGCTGGTGGTTATCAAAATTAATTTTATGATGGTATCAGGAATATTAAAATAAAAAAAGCTGAATAACTGATGACATACCGAAAGAGTTTTGCTTGATTTATAGAAAATGTTGATGTGTGTATGTGATTTTTTTTCAGTATATGTTGTGTGTCACAATTATCACATTGTCGTATCAGGTAGAAATCTGAAGTATAACTTTCTTAGAAACTTGTTCATTTTTTCATTTCATTTTTCGTACTGGACTTTTTCATCTATCAAAAACTGCATCTCCTGAGACATGTATTACTTATCTACTGTGATATAAAAAAAATTTGCAGAAATATGAAAGAGAAATCTGGAAACTTTCTTCTTGAAATAATTTAGTTTTGGTTATAATATGACTGGCTTGATACTAACATATTAATAACATTGGTAATGAATCAACACCTACACATCAATTTTCATTATATTTTGTGTTATATGGTGGTTTGGCTGATGAAACAGTATCATCCATAATCATACAAGATGTTCTTAAAGGCAGCAAGCACCCAATCTAATGATGAATGGATTTCCTCCCTTGCTATATATTTCAATTTCTGATTTTTAAACTGATTTTGTTGAGTGTTTCCTGTGGACGTCTTTGTGTGTTTGTGACCAGTGTTGTAAAGGGAGACAACTCTTTGGTATGCATGTTATGTATAATGTTTTTGTTTCTGTGACTTTTTTCGTCAGACTTCATTGTTAATCAATTTCAGAAATAGATTCTCGTATAGTTTCACGCCTCAGAACATTAACGATTTACTGTAAGTACGCCATCATTCATTTCCTTTCGCATGGAGTTCCATCAAAATTAGTCAAATTGTTCAGACAACTTTGCCCTGCATATTTCAACTTTTACTAAAGCATTTTCTGACATTCTTAACAGATATCTTGTACAGCATGATTTCCTACAGAGATACAAAAAGAAAAGGCAAATGGTATATCATAGCAAAATGAGCTATGACTTCATTTAGAATTAGCTTTCTCAAATGTAAAATTTATACCTGGAAATGTCAGAGTGGAAGGACTGATCAGATAGCATTGTATTTTATTTTAATTCAATAGTGTATTGTTTTTTTAGATCCATAAAAAGGTTTTGATTAGAAAGCATGTTTTGACACTAATTATTGTAGTGAAAATATTTAGGTAAATATCAAGTGTTTTAATTATCTTGATTTGATAAGGCAGCAGTTTCGGAATCAATAAAATCAAATCAAAATAGATACAGCATGGTTCAGTGAAGTCAGATGATTATTGGAGTTTAATGTCATTTTGCTTACATGACATGTGTAAAGAAATACATCAGTGTGGCTTGTTCATAAAATACAGCTGACAGAGCAAGCTTCTTCAGCTCAGTTGGTACAGCTGTGGATTTTGTGTTGGAGAAACATGTTAGACACATTCTACACCTGATCAGATTCTGTTCACACTAACCCTATAGTATCATAACATCATGTTCTACACCTGATCAGATTCTGGTTCACACTAACCCTGTAGTATCATAACATCATGTTCTACACCTGATCAGATTCTGGTTCACACTAACCCTATAGTATCATAACATCATGTTCTACACCTGATCAGATTCTGGTTCACACTTACCCTATAGTATCATAACATCATGTTCTACACCTGATCAGATTCTGTTTCACACTTACCCTATAGTATCATAACATCATGTTCTACACCTGATCAGATTCTGTTCACACTAACCCTATAGTATCATAACATCATGTTCTACACCTGATCAGATTCTGGTTCACACTAACCCTGTAGTATCATAACATCATGTTCTACACCTGATCAGATTCTGGTTCACACTAACCCTATAGTATCATAACATCATGTTCTACACCTGATCAGATTCTGGTTCACACTTACCCTATAGTATCATAACATCATGTTCTACACCTGATCAGATTCTGTTTCACACTTACCCTATAGTATCATAACATCATGTTCTACACCTGATCAGATTCTGGTTCACACTTACCCTATAGTATCATAACATCATGTTCTACACCTGATCAGATTCTGGTTCACACTTACCCTATAGTATCATAACATCATGTTCTACACCTGATCAGATTCTGTTTCACACTAACCCTATAGTATCATAACATCATGTTCTACACCTGATTAGATTCTGTTCACACTAACCCTATAGTATCATAACATCATGTTCTACACTTGATCAGATTCTGGTTCACACTTACCCTATAGTATCTTAACATCATGTTCTACACCTGATCAGATTCTGGTTCACACTAACCCTATAGTATCATAACATCATGTTCTACATCTGATCAGATTCTGGTTCACACTAACCCTATAGTATCATAACATCATGTTCTACACCTGATCAGATTCTGGTTCACACTTACCCTATAGTATCATAACATCATGTTCTACACCTGATCAGATTCTGGTTCACACTAACCCTGTAGTATCATAATATCATGTTCTACACCTGATCAGATTCTGGTTCACACTTACCCTATAGTATCATAACATCATGTTCTACACCTGATCAGATTCTGGTTCACACTAACCCTGTAGTATCATAACATCATGTTCTACACCTGATCAGATCCTGGTTCACACTTACCCTATAGTATCATAACATCATGTTCTACACCTGATCAGATTCTGGTTCACACTAACCCTGTAGTATCATAACATCATGTTCTACACCTGATCAGATTCTGGTTCACACTAACCCTGTAGTATCATAACATCATGTTCTACACCTGATCAGATCCTGGTTCACACTTACCCTATAGTATCATAACATCATGTTCTACACCTAATCATATTATTGTCAGTCAGAAGTAGAGGTAAAAGGGTCAAAGGTCACATTATGCATGAGAGCTGGGGCATACATGTTTTACAGAGATTTCCTAGCTTCAATTGGTATCTTATGTGTCTGTACTTAATGAACAAACCACACTGAGTTGCTCTTTAACACAGCAACAGTGCCATTTTGACATATCGAAGTCTTAAATCTACTGATAGCATGTTTGCAAGTGTTAATTTGAAATCTTGTGAAATCTGAACCCAGACATATAACTACTTAAGTCATTTTGGTTTATATGCATAGTGATTTTAACATGGATATCAGACTGTGACATCATTGATAGAAGCTGAGTTATGTGTCTGACTACCTGTGTTACAAAGAACAGTAAATGATTCGTTTGTCAAAATTAGAATTGTTTGATAGGCGATGTAAGATGAAAATGCTTTAAGGAGCCATATCTTGCCAGTTTACTGTCAGCGTTACATCTCTGCAGTCTAGCTTTTTGCAGAATAAATGTAATTTTGGAAAAGTTCAAAGTAAGATTCACTTGGCAAATATGTTCTGCTTGACCTTTCAAGCTTGTTTCTCTTCAGTTAAGATGTATGATAGGGAGACATAGAAAGTGTGATATATTCCTTGTACAGTTGGTATTTAAATGTTGTAAAGGTATATTGTCAGCAGTTCATGTCTCATTCTCCAGTAAATTTAATGAGATTTTTTTTTTCAGCTTGATGACTAACAGTTAAACAATGTGCATGGACCTTTAATTCCAGACTGATACTGTTTTGATTGAGATAAAAAAAAAACCCAAATATATGAAAAAAAGTTTTTCTGCTTTTTATCTTCATGTCATTGCTTAGATTTTTTTCGTTTGAGTTTCATTTTTGCTTTTAATTCAGTTTTATTGTAGTTGTATAATTTTCTTACAGCTTTGAATTTATTTTTGGAAGTTCATATTGCTTGTGTTTTCATCAGCTCCAGAATTAGTGTTTTCAATACTTAAACGTTAATTGCGTTGTTAAATTTGTACAAATAATCACTGATGAATTTCACTCCACAATATTTTCATCAGAACCAATACGGTAAACGGAAGTTTACAACATTATTATATATATAGATGGAGAGAAAGAAAAGAAATACAAGATTACTGGTGATCAGAGAGGCTTGTAAACGATGCCTTCATTCTCATGTATAATATACAGCAATATCATGTGATTGTGCATAAACATAATTTCTATAATCAAAATTATAAAATGGTTTATCAAGCCTTTTTTAACTTACAGAAGGATAAATTGTTATTTTTCATGTCATTTTCATGGCATATCTACACAATTTGTTCCAACATGTTTGAACAATTGTCTGAATAAACTCTGATGTGTCACCATGAACAATACATACTCTTTAGAAATGTTTCACGAGGACAAAACTCACGCCCAGAAAACTGACACGTGATGAAAAAAAAACATCACAATCCCCAGAAAACTGACACCTGTGATAAAAAAAAAACACATCACAATCCCCAGAAAACTGACACATGTGATGAAAAAAAAACACATCACAATCCCCAGAAAACTGACACATGTGATGAAAAAAAAACACATCACAATCCCCAGAAAACTGACACATGTGATGAAAAAAAACACATCACAATCCTCAGAAAACTGACACATGTGATGAAAAAAAAACACATCACAATCCCCAGAAAACTGACACATGTGATGAAAAAAAACACATCACAATCCTCAGAAAACTGACACATGTGATGAAAAAAAACAAATGACAATCCCCAGAAAAATTATATTTACAGTGAAAAAATGCCATGCATTGTGTAAAGTGATTCAGTTGAGTGTGGAGACTGAAGGAATGGATTGCCACATTTGTGAATTTAAGTCACACTGATGCCACAAGCCCCTAAGTCACCCTGAATGCTACAAGCCCCTAAGTCACCCTGATGCTACAAGCCCCTGAGCTAAGTTAGAGCCTACATAACCCAAGGTGATAAGATCAGAGATGCATGGTTCAACACTCACTACTTATGGTGGTTTGTGTTTCTCGAGAAGCTTAAAAATAGACTGATCTGTGTTGATGTGACTGTCTTTCGGGTAGACACTTTACCCTTTGGATGGCAAGGGGTGGGCCTCCCATATGGTATTCAATAAGTTAACCACCTGTTACTATAAGGAGACTCTTTCTCAAAATGTCTCGATGACTGTTCACATGGTGATAAACTCACCAGACAAACCATGCAAGCATGAAAGGCTTCTTAACAAGTTTCAGAGAGAGGGGAGATAACTCTTATTTACTTGATCAGCTCTAGGCCTCTATTCCTCTTAGAACCTACAGAATCAGATATAAATCCACAAACAATTTGGTGGTAAATTATGCTATTGATGTAATATGGCTTCTAGATATTTTTCATGGAAACAGATTTAAATTTTCTGTAATAATATAAGATATGCTGTTGTGTGCTGTAGTTTGTTCTCTAAAACCTAAAAATAAAATAAAATAAAATCAAGGAAGTCTGACTGAAGTTTGATTTATTGGAATTGTGATTGGTTACTTTTTTTAATTTCATTGTTAATACAATTATAAATATACAATTTCTGCGCAAAAGAGATGAAAAAGTGATGTGTATTCAAAACAAACAAAAAACAGATTAACTTATTATACGCCTATGTTACTTCTATCATTTATTTCAATTTTTCAGAAATTTTTTTTTAAGTCTTCTCCCATGAATTATGGTATTGAATGTTTTTCTTTTCCAGTAGCACACAATATGTTGTCAACGATTATGCTCCAAGAAATGCCCTACATGTTGAAACACTGGATAATACTGACAAATCCCGGTACCTGCCGCAGGGAGCTCCGAGTGGATGTAAAAATCTCTTTGTTGTTGTCTTGTTGGAGAATCATGAACAGAAACACACGGAACTCATCTTATCCTGCAAATCTCCGTAAGCTTTTCAATAGTTTGGAATTCAGTTCATTATGAAGCTGTGTACTAGAAATATAGATAGATATAGACAATTCTCTAACATATAAATATCTTGGTTTGAAATGAGATAAAATTACAGTTTCAAATTCAGGATTCTTCAATTTGAGGCCACAATCGGTCTTTTTCATGTAAGAAACTTACAGGTAATTTTGCTGAATGAATTGGCATGTTCAAACAAAAAGGGATTAAGATATTCGTTAATTTGGAGCTTTTGCATATTAAAAGCTTTTGCGGATTTTAATATTCCATTCTGTACTAAAGATTCAAAGTAATAATTCATATACAATACATTTTACAGGAGTGACAGAACACGATGGATTGATTCTCTCAGTCCATCAGCAAAGGAAAATGACACAGAGAAAATCTACGAAGAATGGGGTAGGTATCAGGTTCTGTCATGGTCACAGTTGTAAAACAGGGATGTGGCAAGATCACAGGGTGTGACAATGTCACAGTTGTAAAACGGGTGTGGCAAGGTCACAGTTGGAAAACAGGGGTGTGTCGAGGTCACAGTTGGTAAACAGGGGTGTGGCAAGGTCACAGTTGTAAAAAGGGATGTGGCAAGTTCATAGATGTAAGACAGGGGTGTGGCAAGGTCACAGTCATAAAACAGGGATGTGGCAAGGTCACAGTAGTTTAACAAGGGTGTGGCAAGGTTGCAGTCATAATATTGTACTGTGTCAAAGTCATATTAGGAGAACAAGAGAGAACACAAGCATAATCGTAGGGTGTGTCAAGGTCACAGTCATTATTCTAGACTTTGTCAAGGTCGCAATGTTAAACTAGGCTGTGTCTAGTGCAGAATCATTATACTAGGTTGGGTCAAGGTTATATTTATGAAACAAGACCTATAAAGATCACAGTCATAACACAAAATTAGTTAAGATCAAAAGAAATTATGCAAGGTTTGTGATGTTAAGAGAAGGAACAGGAAGGCATCTCATTACAAAACAAGCAGTTTTCTTTGGAAATAAAGTGATTAAACATCAATTTTGTTTCTTCTCAGATTGTCCTCAAGTACAATGTACAACCAAGTACACAGCTACAGAGCCTGATGAATTAAGTCTTGAAGAATCAGATGTCATCAATGTATTCAAGAAAATGGGCGATGGTAAGATTTGTTACGTTTATCACTTGTTTGTTAGGTCACCTGGCGCCACTTGTATAAAACATCTCAACTTGAGATTTTCTCAAGTCAAGATTTTCCTCAGCTAACATCTCCTTGAAAATATCTTGTATGAAAATTCCTCAAGGAATTTCAGGACATCCTAGCCGATGACTTCCTCCTGTTCCTGGAGAAAATTTTATACAAGTCGTTTTTGAGGAGATATTAGCTGAGGAAAATCTCGACTTGAGGAAATATCAAGTTGAGATGTTTTATGCAAGTGGGGCCTGATCTGTAGGATCTAGATATTTGTTGCCTTACCTTGGCATTTATCATCCTTCAACAATGTCTTTAAAACACTACAAGTCATAAGCGACTGCAGATTTTGACCAAATTTGGTCAGAAGCATCCTTGGGGGATGGAGAATCAATTTTGTATAAATGAAGTATCTCATCCCCACCCCCAACACCTACCCTCCAACCCCACCCACCACCTGGGGCCTGAGGGGTGGGGCCAAAAAGGGGAAATTTAGTGAATTCTGTAAAATCCTTCCTCTCTAGGATGATTGGATTTTGTTCAGCTTTGAACTTAAACAATCTTCAATGAAGGGGATTTAATTTTGTATAAACAATGAATCTTGGGGGCTCCTGGGTGGAAGGAGCTGGGCCTAATAGGAGCAAATTGACCAAATTGGGACCGACAGATTCTGAAAAAAAAACTGACAAAAATTACATTGTCCATTTTTTTAATGATTGATTACACTCTACACTGAAATCTCAACGAGTCATTGATTTTCTGTATGACAGGTTGGTATGAAGGGGAGAGAATTCGCGATGGAGAGAGAGGCTGGTTTCCTGCTACCAGCACCACAGAAATTGTCAACTCGCATGTCAGGGCACGAAACTTACGTCTGCGATACAGACTGTTATTGGCATCACAGGACTACGGTGATGTGTACTCAACAGCATGATCAAGATCTTAAAAAGCTTTAAAATTACACTGTACGCAGTGAAAACAAGCTTTTCAGTGAAAATGATTCACCTCCAGATCATTTGACTTGACAATCATAAATATTGACATTGAAGAATGAGATTCACATCAAAGTTTTTTCGTCCTCAGGATTTTTTTCGTGGGATTGTAAAGAGAAATATGCATTAAGACATCCTTTAAATTTCCCCAGAGGATTCCGATGGAGACAGAAATACTCCTGATAAAACTGCTGTATTGTTTTCCTTTCTCCAAGTAGAATTTTTACAGGATGGGACTTACTTGGATATCCGCGATGTCAACTTTTGTTGGGTATAATTATATAAGCCTTTTGTATGTGTGTGTATGAAAAAACACTGGAATATATGGAAGTGTCAGGAGAATGACCAATGTTGAGAATTGGTCTTTTCTTGTTCAGAACTCACTTGTGAAGGAGCTGGACAAAGACACGTTAGAAAATTGTTTACATGTTGTATACTCCTAATGATCACAGAACTTACTGAATAATTTCACAGACACAGAAATGTCAACAATTATGGGGTATGACTGAGATTTGATTACAGTACTGTTTGGTGAATTTTAACGGCTATTTATCCAGAGTAACAACGGGAAGAACATTTACTGTAGTATCAATCATTCAACAGAAAAATGCTGGCATTTTTCTAATGAAACATTAAAATATTAAAATTTCCTACATTTGGGAGTCAAATTCATTCCAACATTATTGTACTGCACTATCAACTTTTGGGAGTGTGTGAGTAGATAGTACTTCTGTTTAGAAAACAGTGTTTTGTGATGAAACTGAGCTGGGGCATTCACTTATGAAAGCTAGCTTTCTATCTACAATATGTAGGTCTTGAGTTCAAATCCTGTTGTTTCCATTACAATGTTTTACATTTACACAAAATATTGCCAAAACATATAGAGTATAATGTGTTCTGTGTAATCTCACATTTTAATGAAGTTTCTGATGGAAACAGGTGTGACCTAGGTATACTGCTAAACTATCTAAAGCTTTCAGCATTACATAGACGATGTGATATTTTATATTATACTTCTTATAAAAAATAGATAAAGGAAGTCACAGCGATGAATATCAGTCATTTGAATACAATTTGTACTGATGAGCTGATGACTTTACTTTCCTAACAGCGTTCATCAAATCATTTTAACTGTCATAGAAGACAGTTTTCCCAGGAGACATTTTTTTTATAATTTTAAACCAGAAATTGATGAAGAATGACTCAGTGTCTGGAAGATATATATCACTGCCATACAATGATAGTAAGATGTTGTAGTAGACAAGGTTGTCTTCCAATAACACTTAGATCACAAATTGTCTGAACTCCTTAATGAAGTGTTGTATATGTCTCTGTAGATAAATTGGTGACACTTATTCTCATCACTTTGAAAATGATTTTTGTTCTCTCTTAACCAGGCAATATCTCGTTAAATTCATTTCTTATCAGCACAGGTGCTTTACATATTTTGTAATTGAAATTATATTTGAACATATCACAAGTTTATTCCAATATCAAGTTTCTTGTACATGTACCTGGTGTATTGAGTATATAACACAGGGGAATGTCACATATAGGAACCAAGTCTGTTGCTACTACAACCATGGTACTGTAACAGCCCCCAGTAATTACACAGTTATGTCCCTTGAGGTGTGACTGGTAACTCATTATCATACCTTGGTATTAGCTGGATTTCCATACTGCAAATTGTTTTGGTTTTAAACATTTTTAATGCAGCAATTCAACATTGGTTAAATGATGACTTTAAATTACTAATAATTAGCATATATCATGTTAATTTGAGGTCCACTTCAAGTTTGATTTATAAACTTTTCATATATATTTTGCTAAATGATTTGAATTATTTTTGTATTCATATTTAAACAGGTAAAGTTTTTCAAGTTGTATTATTACAATGAACTATAATATTTTAAAGTTGTATGATATACTTCACTATAACCATTGCCAGAGCTGACGGTACACAATCCATGAACAACAATGATTATATGTATGTTATCCCGCCAAGAGTTTGGACTTAGTGGTTGGAAATATTTCAATGAATGTTATTCATGATGAATTTTCTTAAATAAATTCCATAATACTTAAAAAGCAACAAGCTAATTAATGTGATAGACTCCTGTTCTACACAATATCTATAGAAATGATGAAAGTGGTAAAATCACAACATTCAATTTGATACCATCACTTACACTATCACATTGTAAATTAAAAATAATAAATTAAATGTGTGGAATGTTTGGTGACAGAGAAAGAACCATATATCTATAGTATCAAAGTTTTCTCTAAGGTTTGTTTCATTGCGGCCAAGACAGACCCGCCAAAATGGATCCTAAGACAACTAATGTAAGATCCTAATGTTAAAACTCACTGCATCGTTTGTAATCAGTTAGCACAGGTGTCTGACATAGATTATTCTCCAGAAACAGGATATATCCATTTGAAACATATCTATATATGATTTTTGTCAGTTTTAATATTTCTTTATAATTTGGTTTTACTTTATTTTTCAAATGTTACTTCATTTTTTTTAAAAATGTATCACATTTATTTTGTCTGAGATAGATGATTTGAAAAATGTGTAGTATCTGAAAACTGCTTTATTTTGAATATGAACTGATTTGATGTTGCATTCAATGGACAAAGATAAGCTTATTTCTGAAGTAAAAATATTTTCTTGTATTAATTTTTTTTAATTGATTGATGATTTAACATATATCTATAATCATATGATTGAATATTTTATTACTGCTAAAAAGATATATAAATATTCATATGCAATGCTGTATGGTGCACTTTATCTACTGACTCTAGAAAGGATATGCAAATTTAAATGCTTTTATCAAATATCTGAGGAATTGACAGGTGATGTTGTAATATTAAAGTGACTTATATCTCAGTATGTTGATATGATAAGGATTATCTGTCCATTGTCCTCACACCAAGGCTTAAACTACTGAGACTCACATACCTATAGATCCCACTGATCTTCTTACGTAAAATATCAAATGTGGATCTTAAACCTACATTTATAAACTCTGTTCAACAAGAAACAAAGATTAATGTGCACTCTGCTGAAATATGTTATACAAACTTACACTATAGATATTTGTATAACTTACTTTGATTGAGAACTTGTATAATGGGAGGTAGTATGACAGGTAAATGTATGTGTGGTAACACCTGATTAATTACTAGTGGAATGTAAGATTTTACTCTTTATAAAATTGATTTTGTCATTTTTTCCTGAACATTTAAAACGGAGCCAGAGAATGAACAGACAAAAATGTAACAAAGGTTGTTCACTGTTCTCATTGTATTCTTTAGTAATTTGTATACATCTGAAAAAATAAACAGAAAGTGATGTTCACCAGACTTCTGTGGGTGATATTTCCATATCAATCTTTTGTTCAGTGCATTGGTAGTAAACACAATCAGTAATTTGAATTAAATAAACATAAATTATCTATACAGGTGTGTCTTTTGAATTAACTTTTGATATCATATGCTTTGATTCATTTTAAATATGTAATTTTATTCCAGAATAAAATTTTATCAACTTAATTTAAATAAGACCTCTTGTTTCACTTCATACCTGTTGACAGATGATAAGGTACAGAGGGCAAAGTGGTTTGAATATAATTAGCTTGAGAGTTCATAGTTCTGATATTGCACAACTAAAAATGTTGTTACCTTTAATTGTAAAAAGAATTAAAGGTGAGTATCCTTGTTAAAAATGTCACTTATTTAATTTTCTGATTTCATTAATGATATTCGTGTGATGTGACAATATACAAATTTGATTAAGAAAAGAATTGAAATGTATTGCTATCTAAATTGGTAATATATACCAACAGGTATATGACTGTTTCAGTGTTAATTCATAGTTGTCACACCGGTTCAGTGAACTACACAAATATGTATCCACCTTCCAGCTGAGTGGTAGTAGGTCTGTTTATAAAGCTTAAGACCAGTACAGAATCCTTTATGATATTTCTCAATCCAAACTTGAGATCTTGTTGCTGTGATTATTTTGTATATTAAATATATTACATGTAATACTGTATGTACAATGCTACCAAGTGATTTCTTTGATTTCATGTCCTGTTATAATTTTATTTCTATTTTGATAAAAGAAATGATTATACTTCTGTTTTTTGTAAAGGTGTCTTTTATTACTGTAAAAATCTATTATTTAAGTCTATGGTTTTGAGGATATCTGTTATATTTCTCCCGGGATCAATGTTTCACTGAGAAGTTCATTGTTAAAGCAATATTGTTACTTTCTGTTTATTGTTTCATTGTCAAGGTCAAATTTTCACCTTCATGAAAACTTAACAAATTTTTTACTTACCAATATAAATTTCATGCCTGTTCTTAGGAGAAACATATCATGTTGTACAATAAGATTTTGTCTGTACTACGAGATCTGACATTATGTCTGCTTCTGAAGATAAAAGATATGATCATTGTCTGTTTTATAATATCCTGACATTTTCTCTGATTTTATGATAAAAGCATTATGTATTATGATATAAATATTGTCTTTTTGGTAATGAATTACATCTTCCTTGGTTTTTATCATAAGATTGTGACATTCTGTATATTTAGTAATGAGATTTTGAGAGACCAATGTTTTATAAGATACAGATATGTTGTATACTAAGATTCAAACTGACGTTTTATGATGAAAGTTAGACTTTATGTCTTGTGTTACGTTCTTTGCTTTATGTCCTATGATAGATCTAGACATAATGTCTTACTATAGGATCTAGCATTAATGTTTTATGACAAGGTCTAGGCTTAATGGCTTACGTTAAGTTCTATAATTTATGCCCTATGACAAGATCTAGACATAATGTCCTATAATAAGATCTAGGCTTAGTGGCCTTAAGATCTCTACTTTATGTCTTAACATAAGACCTAGACATGACGTCTTATGATAACATCTAGGCTTAGTGGCCTTAAGATCTAGACTTTATGTCTTAACATAAGACCTAGGCATGATGTCTTATGATAACATCTAGGCTTAGTGGCCTTAAGATCTAGACTTTATGTCTTAACATAAGACCTAGGCATGATGTCTTATAATAAGATCTAGGCTTAGTGGCCTTAAGATCTAGAATTTATGTCTTAGCATAAGACCTAGGCATGATGTCTTATAATAAGATCTAGGCTTAGTGGCCTTAAGATCTAGAATTTATGTCTTAACATAAGACCTAGGCATGACGTCTTATGATAACATCTAGGCTTAGTGGCCTTAAGATCTAGACTTTATGTCTTAACATAAGACCTAGGCATGATGTCGTATAATAAGATCTAGGCTTAGTGGCCTTAAGATCTAGACTTTATGTCTTAACATAGACCTAGGCATGATGTCTTATGATAACATCTAGGCTTAGTGGCCTTAAGATCTAGACTTTATGTCTTAACATAAGACCTAGGCATGATGTCTTATGATAACATCTAGGCTTAGTGGCCTTAAGATCTAGACTTTATGTCTTAACATAAGACCTAGGCATGATGTCTTATAATAAGATCTAGGCTTAGTGGCCTTAAGATCTAGAATTTATGTCTTAACATAAGACCTAGGCATGATGTCTTATAATAAGATCTAGGCTTAGTGGCCTTAAGATCTAGAATTTATGTCTTAACATAAGACCTAGGCATGACGTCTTATGATAACATCTAGGCTTAGTGGCCTTAAGATCTAGACTTTATGTCTTAACATAAGACCTAGGCATGATGTCTTATAATAAGATCTAGGCTTAGTGGCCTTAAGATCTAGACTTTATGTCTTAACATAAGACCTAGGCATGATGTCTTATGATAACATCTAGGCTTAGTGTCCTTAAGATCTAGATTGAATGTCTTATGTGAAGATACAGGCATGATGTGGTTTGTTCAGAAACAAAGATTTTAAAGACATAGACATAATGTTTTATGAGAAGATGCAGTCATGATGTTGTATAGTTAGATATATATATATTATGATTTAAGATGCAGACTTAATGTTTTATGTTAAGATACAGACATAACGTCTTATAATCAGATGCATACATTATGTTTGATGATAAGATACAGGAGTTATATGGTAAGATATCTTGTGTTTTATGATGATGTCTACCTTACTACCTTTGTGTGCCATTCTCAGTTCCTTCCTAATCACCTTGTTCATGTATACAACTTATATCATAAAGATATTGTACAACAAAATCTCTGATGTCTTCCTTTCTTGACATATAATCTATTTTTTCACCACTGACAGTATAACATTCTGCATATAATCTTCGTCCACATTGCCAGTATGTTTTACTTAACGTCAAGGTCACGAGAGTTCATAGTTCAACATACAGGTCATCTGTATCCCGACTTGTCATCTGCTGGAACTACATAAAGATATTTCAGTATGTGTAAGTATAATCATAGATGTTGAAAGTCATAGAGAGAAAATATCTGTAGATGTAGTATATGCTGGTTATTTCTTTAATTAAGGTCATAGGAATAAAAGGTCATTTTCTTGACGTTATAGAATTACAACTTCAGTGGAAAATGCTTTAACAATCCCTTATAAGGATACAAACTAAAATGGTTTTTACTCGAGCAAACATGAAACCTTACTGCCATGAAAGCAATAGCAGACTAGAATTATTAAGTTATTTAGGAGGAAGTTCCATCAACAGCAACACATTAGTAAACGACCCTGACCGAAAATTTCTGAGCCCGTCTCGTTTATCTCCCCTGATTTATCATTGTCTATATAACACATTCACTCTAGTAAGGTGTTTGTGGGGAGCGACAAGCATTCTTTGTTCTGGATATTTCATGGCCAAAACACTATTTTGTCGGTCTCTTGGTGTTCTAATTTAGTCTGGTACAACCAGGAACTCATTTTTTTAGACAAAAAGAAATCCTCTCATACTTTGTGTTCTAATAAGGTGTTTGAGTGTCCTCTTGTAATCTAAACTTAAATTACTCACTGCTCTGTATCGTGACGTCTACTTTTTAGAAATAGGGTTTATTCATGAAATCATCGCCATTTAAGAATTTTGTGAACGGGCGACTTGAAATAGATACGTTTTCACACTTCTGGGAATAAAGTCCGCTTTAAAGTATTTCGTGGGCTGTTGATATATAGTTTTAAAAACTTCAGAAATTAGCCAAATTTTCAAAATTACCAGTTTCATCAACTTCAGACTATGGTTTTGTTGCTTACTGCAAGAGTCGTGAGGACAAACCAAATATTTGTATGTTGCATCGTAGATGAAAAATGTGACCACATTGTGAGAATTAAAATGGTGGAATCTCTCAACTTCCATACATAATGACAGCCTTTATGTAAAACGGAAACTATCGCCGTTAGCTACTTCTGTAGGCTGTTAAAGACGCCAGCGGGCAGTCGACATCGTCGCATCCAGCTCTTAATTACGGAGGGAAAAAAATAAAAACCGTTTCCGAAGATTCGAGTAATTTTATGGCTATCATTGTATTGAATTCATTTTAAAAAAAACAACGCATGCTGCTAACAACATTTATAGATATCACTACGCTTGTTTGTTTCCTTGAAAACATCCACGAGTACGATGGAACTCTCGGTTTTACTACAAAGAACCGCTTTACAACGTAAATACCAATTTCTATATAGGATCTTCTTTGAAATCCTAACGTTCTGTTTACAGTTTAGACGTGTCAATATTGTGAACTGGATTCGAAATGTGACGGAGGTCAGTCAAATATGTTAATTAGTCTCCGATCAGTATCCTAAGCGGATTCAGAAAGGGATTCGCCACGTGCACGCCCTCCTAAAATTTACAAAGTAACATTTTTTCAAAGTCAGCGTAGATGAAATTCCATTATGCATACACCAACAGCACTTCAAATTACAGACACACTGGTGATAGTACTTTTAATTACCCACAAATTACATCCGAGAAAATGTATCGAGCATGTTTTTTAAAAACAGTAGTAACACGATATCTTTCAATTAAGTCTTTGGAAAAGGAACACACATACACACACACACAAACATTCTAGGCCCACGTGGGATGTAGAGTGAAAAAAGGGGAAGTAACTCTGGGATATCAGAATGCACTATCTACCTGAACGAACGTTATCACCACAGACTTGTAGTTCGTCGGATGGGACATGAAACAGTTACCCGTGTGAGAATGTACAACCCGCAGACGGAGGACCCTCGAACATATCCCAAGGACCATAGACAGAAAGACATGGAAACAGTCCGGGAAATGGTGTGGAAACCGGAAACAGTGCAAAAGAAAATAGTTTTCAGTTAAAAAATCCTGCAGCCGTCGACGGCTTTTATCACATTTATATATGGTTTAAGATAATCAATGGAATAACATGTTCGTTTGAATTTCCTCAAAACTGCGTTCATACCATCATAAACATCATAAAAACGCTGTTCAATCCTGCTGTGAAATTAACACATAAAGACAGAAATAAAATGATTGGCCATGGTTGGCACCAAAGCGATGATTTGACGGGTGACTGCGAGTAATTACAGGTCTTTATCGTCTATTAGGTCATAATTATAATAGTTTGTACCCGGATTTACTGATTGTTATCATCCTATCGACATCTCTCACGATTAACGGCCTGGCAGGTTTTAAATGGCAATAAATATGTCCGAGCGTCCTGTTATCTAGAGAGATATCGTATTGTTCCGGGTGATTAATTATCTACCATTGGGGGTCGGAATCGTGGTCGGAATCACCAACACACAATAGGGGTAGATTTGTCGCCTTAGGTGACAAGTACTCGGCTGTTTTCGGGTGTTTTACTATAGGTGTGAAACGTATTTAGTTCGGGTATACTACATGTAGGTCCATGTATCCATACTGTTTTGGTTCACGGAAAGATGAAAGTTTTATTTGGGATTTTGGTTACGTCCGCGTTCTGTTGGAACATTGGTAAGTATTAACTTAGATACGACATTACCATGGTGGATTAAGTATCACAGGTAGGTGTCCACTCCATGTAAACAATAATATCGGAAAACGTCACGGAAACATGGAAGTAGACAATCGTACATAGCTGTGTTGTCAATCTTTATATATATGTTAGGTGTGATATTGTAGAGTTAGGTGTGATATTGTAGTGTTAGGTGTAATATTGTAGTGTTAGGTGTAATATTGTGATATTACCATATGATACAGTTTGGTGGGATATATATTTACAAAATTATTACATATAACTTATCACATTGTCATATGGTAAAACGCTAGACAGACACAAATAACCGTAAATATTTCCGCCAAAATCTGAGTATCAAAATGGATGTCAGTTGGAGAGCTATTTCACGTCTTTGTGTTATATCATCAACATGTTTTAATAAAAGGAAATTGATGATAAATATCAATTACGTTTTGTTCCTCAGGTGCGAGTACGGTGTGTTGGGAGTGCACTTCCCTTGATGATGGGTGGTGTACGGAACACTTTGTAGGGAAGGATCTTTCCCCTTACACCGCCAGAGTTGTTAATTGTACTGGCGGTTGTATGAAAATGGTGGCACTGGTGGATGTTAATACAAGTAAGTTTCTGGTTATTCAAAGTTCAATTTTGTTTATGTGAGAATATACCGGAAGTAGTGTTCACTTCTCTTGATCAATGACACGACGTTTGTATTAGCTTATCGTATAGTGAAGAGTCCGTCCGTCCGTACAATTTTTTGAAAACAGAAACAGACATATATTACGTCTCTCCTAAGAGCTCCATCTACAGTATATTTACAACTCACTGGAACTTAGAAGTGATAAAAACACACTGTGCTAACTTATAGGAAAAATAAATCGGACAATAGGAATGAGCTCGAGCATAATGCTGGTCTCATGATCTCACTCGTAACAATTTTACTTTAAAACTGTCACGCACAAACGATGTTATCTGGGTCTGCGGGCTCCCGGGTATGAGGTCGGAAGGGTTAAGCTTTCCCGTGGTGATACTCTAACCTATTTATCTGTCTTATCTCTATAGAGTTCTACTTGAGGACGTGTGACGTTACAGATGTTGTCCCTGGCACGTGTCAAACCAGAAGTCATGTGCTTGGAATCCCAAGGAGTTCAGTTTGCGTCTGTCCGACGGACCGTTGTAATCGAGCACCTTTACAAAATGAACGAACAAACACGCTTGTTAAAATTTTCTTTGGAATAATAATATGGTGGACGAACAAGATTTAATATTTCTTGCAGTGTGTTCTGAAAATTGGCATGTATTTATATTTTTCTCTATTTATATATTTTTCTTGTTGAATTAAAATTATGTTTTTACAATCATGACTGATGTTTTGTAATTAGCCCACCATCTATTCAAATAGATGGTGGGTTATTCAAATCGCCTTGTGTCCGTGGTCCGTCCGTCGTCCGTCCGACCGTCCGTCCGTAAACAATTCTTGTTACCGCTATTTCTGGAAAAGTACTGGATGGATCTTTCTCAAATTTCATATGCAGGTTCCCCTTGGTCCCTAGTTGTACATTGTACCTTTTTGGACTGATCCGAAATCAAGATGGCTGACAGGCAGCCATCTTGGATTTTGGGAGTAAAATCTTGTTACTGCTATATCTGAGGAAGTACTGGATGGATCCTTCTGATATTTCATAGATATTGGTTTCCCTTGGTCCCTAGTTGTGCATTGTACCTTTTTTGGACTGATTTGAAATCAAGGTGGCCCACAGGCAGCCATCTTGGATGTCGACAGTAATACAGCACAAGCATATTGTCCATTATCCACCTGTAACTGACTGCTATCTAATAATACTTTGGGATCTTTTTCAAATGATATTTGCTAATAGGTGCTTAATAAAAATATCTTGTGCCATCATTGAGTACATTCAATGAAGACCAGTTCATGAACATTTACAACACCTGTAACACACACACACACAAAAAAATCATCAAGAACTGAAAACAGATCCTCAAATGGTGGGCGCCAAGATCCCTCTGGGATCTCTTGTTGGTATATAAGTCTATCCCAGACTACAGTAGCTATAGTAACAATGAACCTGGAAATATATCTGAAAGGATCGTTTAGTTATATTATACTGAAATTTCAATTTCCCAGGCTCCACCCTGCACCGAAAGTTCAGTGTCCTTTGACTCATAGGATAAGAATAATTTAACTATCTTGTCCAAGACATTATTCATTGTACCAATCAACTGTGGGATCAGATTTGATAAGGGTTTACTTAAGCAAAAATCAT